TTTAGGTAATATAACTCTGAGATCTATCATCAGTTTAGAGCTGTCATAAAATTACTGAGGCATGCAAGACTGAAGACTGGGTCACCTGCAGGATCAAGTCCTAGGGTGCAGGGAACTGAAGTGTTCATTAGCTTTAAATATTTGCCACTGAAGTTATCAACCAAACACTTTAAAAATCACATGAATAAAATTTATCCAAACTTCAGAGCCTCTGTTCCCTCCATATATGAGTTTTCATGGGAAAACCCACACTGAATCAGTAAAAACAACTTCTCAACTTCAGATAATGGTAATTTAGTATTTTTGTAAATAGTTAAAATAGCTTAGAAAAATCAAGATATTTTACTGAGGTGGAAAAAAACTCCCTCTTCATCTGCAAATTTTTCAACAAAAGTGTTTAGAACACCAGTTTCCAGAAATTCACTCCGTAAGTAGTGCTTATATTACAAAATAGATGATCTCAACCCAATTAAGAGTTTTAGCAGCTACTGTGAAATCATCATGGTTGTGAATCTACGTGGCAGAACTGTAATTTAAAGTGTAACTGCCCTACAGTTAGCAGTTAGTTTGAAAGTGGACTGTAGATCACCCAAATCAAGCTACGCAGAACAAACCTCAGCAAAATGCACTGAAAATGTTTTTAAAATTGTTAACACCTACTGCTGTTAAGTCCATGGTAACATAATGCAATATCCAAATCAAGCATGTGGGAGTCGAAGCAAAAATCTATCTAGCATTATGCTCCTTTAAAAGGTAAGATAAATATCAAATAACTTCAAGGTCTTACCCATTATAAGCCAAATACAGCCACATAAAAGGTACCAGGTTGCAAATTGATGTGTTTTGGGGCCATCTGTGACAGTCTGATACTTTAACTCTGTATTCCCCTTAAGGTGATCAGTATATTAAGTACTAGTTATACTTTATATTTATCTTAATTATATTAAATGATAATATATTAAGTTATATTAAATTAATACTTAATGCTATTTACACAGGCATTAGACATACAGCGACATTTTTCTAACAAAATTTCTTCACATCCAAGTAAATATTTTAAATATTTGTAATGGAAAAACAGAAACATTTTATTAGTAAAAAAATATATTTCGATACTATGAAAAAAACTTTTACACTTTAAGGTCACTCTCCTGTAGTATTTTATGATTTCCTTCCAAGACTTATATAAGTTTGCTACATTCTCAAATCAGAAAAATATTTGTGAGCTTATCATGAAGAGTTCTACAAAGGGATTCAGCTCATTCCTTAATGCTGTGGTTCAAAACAAGGCAGAGCATCCATAACATGGATAGGACATGAATAACCTCCTCAAATGAGACTACTCATAAGCTTAACACTACATAAAATTTTGAGCATTCTAGGGAATCAAACCCTGATGCAACACTTAAGTGCTGATATCCACAGATTTCCAGATCTCAGTACTGGGTTCTAACAGGATTTGATATCCTACTTCATGAAGATAGTTTCTCTGTGTTCCTTCTGCCTTTTAAGTTCCCAAAATCCTGTTATTTAACATCCACACAAACTACCAGGTGCCACTCTGGATTAGCACCCTGTGTCCCTGTATGACTGACTTCTCACAAGTTCACCTTCTTGCTGCACACCTTTTTGTGTTGAGAAAGGCAGGACAAGTTATATTACTCTATATTACTCCAGATTACAACCCCTAGGAAACAGGTGATCCTACTCAACTCCACAGTAAGAAACTGCAGAGATGATCTCTATTTTCTTTCTTGAAGAAAGTTATCAGCTTTTTTTGTGCTATAATTCTCCATCCTTTACTATTTCCCGGGATCCTGAGATGTCAGCATGGACTTTTTAAAAATTGCTTAAATAGGAGAATCTATAACTTCCTAAATTATGTAGCTTATAAAAAATGTCAGCTTCTGTCAGAGCCTGGAAAATTCTTTTAAAGGGGTAACTTCGTTTTTCCATCCTGGCCAATAGAAACAGTTGTCATTTTTGCTCCACAGGGTTCATCCCTGGCACTTTATCATTTCAAAAGTCCTTTCTTCCCAGATAACAATGGAAATGTAACTTCCAACGTGCCAACTACATTCAGGAAATTTCTCCAGCTCCTACTTGTTTAATGAAGCTGTGAAAACTGTTACTCTAAAGCACAGAAGACCTGCTTGAATAGCTTTCATAGTATAACTGCACCAGTTCTGAAGCAAAAGGAAAATATCTATTTCTTCCATTTGTATGGCCAACAATAACTTCAACATTCTGACAGAATCATGTGTACACTGGCGGACAGGGCAGTTTCAACATACTTTATCAGGAAGTCCACAACTAAATAACATGCAGGCTTCTCAGATACTGTTCAAAACTGATGCACAGGCTTCGACCCCAAACTTTACAGCTGCTCTTTTGTTGTTTACAAAACACAGTTAGGTATTTTCTCTACTAAGAACAACATTTACATTTTCCAGTGAAGGTGACTATAATAGAGGTGAACAATAACTGGACTTGAAGGGGAGAACTAGTATTTTTCTATCTGAAAAGAACTCAATACAGCAAACCACTGGGTTAGTAAAAAAGTACTCGCCTACTTTAGCAGATTCAACACACAGGGACTCATCATCTCTTTTTACAAGGGAGTATCCTATGTTCCACTTAACCTAGTAGTCTCTTGAGATGTTTAACTGAAAACAAATTGTGTCTTCTATTTTTGGACAGGGAATTCTTTGTAGAATTTAAGGGAGGCAAGTAACTCCTTTCACCTCTAGTGCCCACACAGCAATTCAATCACTAGTTATGATGTCACAGTAAAGATGAATTTACAACACACTGGCAGGACAAGCAAGAGAGCATCATTCTCACCAACATTTAACCCGAAGGAAGTCTTGTATCTCCTAACAGGAGCAGGAAGGAGCCACTGGGGACAGTTAGGAACAGCTTGAGTGTGTGAGAGCAGGGAAGGTGGGAGACTTGGCACACAACACTGAGATTTACCAGTTTGCTTATAAAATAATGTCATAATTGTAACTGACCAAGATGAAACAAAGGCAGCTCAAATGTAGCCTGACATGACCTAAAACACTTAAGCTCCTAAATAACTCCTTTCACAAGTACAAAAGTAGCAAAACCAGAGAGCATATCTAGTGTGATACAACAATACTAAAATCTGAAGTATTTCCACTACATTACAAAGCTAAATGCAGGTTTTATGCAGGTAAATAACTCTGTGGAAGCTTGAAATACTTTAACTTCTTTATGTTTATGCAAGGCAACTGGTAGAAAAAAAAATATTTATACAAATTTTAAATATGAAACTAAGCTTTAACATTCTTCCTGTGTTAATCTTCAGCCCCAACACCATGGAAAGGGGAAGGAGGAGAGTGGAATATTTCAGATAAGAATATCTAAAAACTTTAACTTGCACAAGGCAATATATTAAAAGCCATATGCAAACACATTAATAGATACTCAATGATTAATGACCTAAAGTAAGAGAATCAAAGAGATAGAACCATGTTAACAGTCAGGACACATCTGTAATTTTAATAAATAAGATTTCCCTGTCATTAAAACACAGTTATCCATCTATGAGTCAGAATGTGGATGCTGTAGCTATTTTGATTTATATATAGACGGTTAGAAATTTAAAAGAAAAAAAAGGCAGCAACACAGTAAAAAGCAGCTTTCAAATGGAGTGTTTTCAATGACTTTGCCAAAGTAAAGATCAGTAGCCCAAAATTCTCGGTTAGTCCATCCTTCTTTACCTCTTGCTATTTTAAACAACATCCTGGACAGTCTTCCAGAGCCAAGACTGCAGTGAGAAGAGCCAATGATTACCACTATCTTTTGAAACCATGGATTTATGTCTCTGTACTCTGGGACTAGCTTTCTCCATTTCATTTTCAACTCTGACAAATGAGCACAGGGAAGAATCCTTCTGGACAATTCTGCAAGATTTCATAAAGCAAAGCTCCCTTTTATGTGCCGCTGACCTCAGCAACTGGCAAATGTGCATCCTCTCCCCCCACTCCATAAGTAACATTCACAATCACTTGGTTTTCTTTTTAAAAAGTGCAATTTAGACATGAGCTACTACAGCCCAGCTCTCCATCTGCAGCTTTAGAGGTTAGATTTCTTTCAGCTGTAACTTGAAGTATTCTTTAAAGCGTTTGATAAAGCAGGAGCACAAATCCACATGGGAACAAGCTCATTGCTTGCCCCTGCCCCCACCCTGACAGTACAGTGTCTTGGATACACAAAGAAAGGGGAAAAAAATCCTGATAGTAGCAGGTCAAACTTCTTGATGGTTATGTTACTTTCCTACAGAACGAAGACTCACAGTCAGCCCAGTGCAGTAGGTTACTGGTCTAGACAAATGAAGAAATTCCTGCAGAAAGAATCCTTCCAATTACACAAGAATTTTTAAGACTGACAAAACCCACTTGTTTAAGTAACATCCAAGGTTTTATAACCTGTAAGCTACAAAAATTGTATAGTATCACAGCTTGGAACTGTGTTTCAAAGAATCTATTGTTAATTAACAACAAATACCATTAACTTCTTAACTTCTTCCTATCTGTCAAACCCCAGCTACTTACAAGTGCTCCGTATCTTTATTTAATCAGTAATATTACAATGTCAGCAGTCTACCTCTCTCTACTAGCACAGAAAGTTATTTAAATAAATATTTTGTATTAACAAGCGTATCTGAGAACAGGAAGCTTAGCTTTCTTTGATAAAGGACTGACAAATATAGGTCTCTAAAGAAGTCTACTGTAATATAAAAAAAAAAAAAAATGTATTTCTTTGCTCAGTAGGATTTTCTCTCTTCTGAATACAGAATATGGGTTTTATCCAGGTCACCTCTGAATGTTTTACAAATCAGAAATAAACCACTAACAGCTCCATCACTAACACCTGCTCTTCTTTCGCCCATCACCCCTATACATACATTCTAAGAAACCAGCTAAAAACTGCACAAAATCAGATATTAACAGATATTTGGACTGATTACTTACATCATACTTTGTAATTCAGGTGTAAAGCTTGTCGATTTTCTTGAACTGCTTGCAGAGGTAACAGTTGACATCGGGCTGGCCACAGTGCTGCTCATCTGAGTAAACAAAGAAATAACAGCATTTACTATACTTTTTAAAGAGAGGACGTGTTTGTTTTACACTAGACAGTCAAAAGGGATAAAAAGGTGTTTGGGGTAGACTTGAATGCAAAGGCTGTGCAAGCAAAAAGAAGCCCATGTGAAACACTGCAGAAAAAGTAAGAGGCAAAGTATTTGGAATGTGCACTATTTTTTGAAATATCACTTAGAGTTACCCTGGGAGCACTAATGGAGAAGTGTTAGGATAAAAACACTCTTATTCTGGAATATATGGTATTCATAGGCACCAGTGTCTTGCTACTCAAAACATCCTCTTATATTCCTGCAGCATGCTAAGCCCTAATAAACCACATCCACACCATCTCCACTGAGACTAAGAGGAGTAAAACAGAAAATCAGAAAAAGACAGATAAATCTGGATAAGGACCAAGATCACAACTTTCCTTTCTAAAACACCAGCTTTACACACACATACTACTTAAGTCTTTAAAACAAATGTGTTAGAAAATGATCCCTGAACACCATCATAAGACTTACATGAATGAAGGTACTATCTTCGCACAAAATAGTTTACAGTCTTTCTATACAAATTTCTCATAAAAAAATTCCACAGAACAATTCTACTCCTACTCTATGAAATAATTAATGTATCTACATTTTCCTCTTGAATAATAGGCAAGTCAAATGCCTTTAGACAATAATTTACTAGAAGACTGACATTTATCTAACTATGGAAAACTCTATGAATACGTAATAGGGAGTTTTTGCTTCAATAAATTTCTTTAAGCACTGCACATGCTACAGAAGTCTCCTGATAAAAGAATATATTCCCACTCCATTTCTTCCTCTCCTAGTTTGCTGCAAACTAGTAACAGTTGAGTTGTACTGCTCATTTCTCATACTAGCAGCAGCAGTAATGACAACAAAAGCCCTATGTGAATACAGCTTGCTTTGCCATAATGCCTCTAGAGAGTCCTACCTTCCTCTAGTTTTAAATTGTGAAGTTAAGGTACAATCTTCTCTAAAAGAGCAACTGCAAAGTAAGTGACCAGATTTATATCAAACACCACTGAAAGCACAAATATTATGCTTTGTGTTAAAAAAATATTTGTAACTCTAAATACAAAGCATAAGATACCTTCAAAATGTAACAAAAGAACTGGTGTTTTGCAAGGCTAATGACATAACAGTATATGGACGAACAATAAACCCAAAATGTTTATGCATTTAGATGCAGGTTTACTTTATTAGTGCTTTCAAGTGGATTTTCACAGACTTCTATTCATCCTAAAGCAGACTCTAACTCAGGACCCCACCCTGCAAGCACTTATGCACATGTATAACTTTAATCACAAGTTTACTCCCACTAAAGTCTGATTTTAATCACGAGTAGTTACACACCAGGCTTAAGTGTTGGCAGGATCCTGCCATAATCAGCAGTTACCAAAGAATCCTATAATGTAAACAGTCAAATTAGTGAGTTTAAATAAAAAGTAAAGAACATGTAACATGAAGGAAGGTGACAGTATTTCTAAGAAGGCTCTATGTACACATGGAAGGGATGGAGGAAGAAGCTGCAGTAGTACCCATGCATGAGGAACAGCCCAAAGGTTTCAAATTTTATATGTATTTTACTGTTCATTGTCTGATTTGGACTGATTATGACTCATTTTAGTAGCTACTATTACTTATACCCAGTACCACAGTACCAAGATTTCTAAACATAAGTTAATGTACTGTAAATTCTATATTTAACCCAGACCCTAAAGTAGTCAGGGGAACATCTCAGTTAATACTTTCTAGAACAACTGTAGAAAAAAAATAATCTTAAAACATATCAATCGATGTGCCATTTAAAGCTGAATAACATACAAAGACTTACAGGGTTTTTTAAGTTTAACTTTTTTTGAAAATGATATAATTTAAAGCATATGGCTATTTTCTTTGAACGTCCATAAGAGATTTTGCTTTATCCATGAGGTCCTGTTAACTTATGAAGCACTCTCCCAAAATTAAAAAAACCATGGGACAGAATTCCACAGTTGCCTCCTCACAGCATAACATTTGTGATTCATGCGTGTCCTACTTTGGAGTAAATACTTTTTAAGGTTCCTGCCCTCCAAACGGAGAAGAACAGTTTAATTAAAAAAACTTGAAAGGTTGTACATCTGTGTAAGTATCAGTAGGTTTGAGGGCTGAAAGCTTATCAGCTTCTGCTTCACTAAAAACTTTGTCTTCCTGCTGCAACCAAATGATTTAACTTCCAAATCAAGCAGGTGTACAGCATTTTCTTGACATAAAAAACCAACAGCTTGTCAGGCTTCGTCAGACCCTTTACAATAATTACTTCCACAGCCCACGTTTTGTTTGATGGTTTAGATAATTAACTTCTTTACACATCAAAGTCTCATCATCCGTATGTTCCATTTCCTTTCTTCCGGACATTTAAAAAAAAAAATCATTCAAAAGCAGAAGCACTCTCAAATCAATTTTCTTCAATAAGTACAGCTAGCATGGAACTGAAAAGCCTACTGTAATCTTCAGTGGGTCAATACACTGTATTTGTTTTTGCTCCAAACTGGAATGCAGCTGTTTGCCATATTCCACAAAATGAATTCAGATGTTCAGATCAGGTCACAGATTATTTCAACATGCTGTATTTTAATCATGAACTCCACCAAGGAGAAGATCACTTCTCATTAACACTATTTGGACTAGTAATTATGAGTTCCTATAAAAAAAAAAAAATTCAGCTTTTACAAATCCTTTGCCCATAAGTTTAATATTGTAATAAGATGCATAACAAAAACAGATTAAAATTACATATAAACATGAATATAAAGATTTTGAAGCATCTACTGCAATTTCAATGACTTTTAGGGTCACAATGTAGACCAGTACTTGTTCCATCAAGCTGAATCAGCAGAGCAAAAGAGTTCTCAGTCAGGGGAAACAAGTTTTAAGTCAATTCTCAAATTTAGGCCCATCTCTCTTGCAGAGGTAAGACAGCTGGGCAGACTTGCATGTCCCAGCCACCCTTCTGCATCCACATCCACTCTGATATCAGCAACCAATACTGACTCATGCTGATGTCTGTGCAATCCATAATCTATACCTGCTATTTATTATTATTAATTCAAGATCCAGTTGAGAGACGTATAAGAATTTAAAATTCCACTGCTGCTGAAGCTTGCATTTGAGATACAGGCTATACATACAGCCTGTAACTGTAGAGCACCAAATCTCCAAGGCATTTCACACCATTTGGGACCTGCATAAGCTGTCTTAGAACACACAGGGTCAACAACTCAGTCTTCTGCAGTACTCCTCAAACACTTTCACCAGCCACCTTTGCCAAGGTGTCACAGGAAGATCTAAGAGGTGCAAACAGGTACTATAGAGTTCTCCAGTACATTGGTTCAGTGGTTGATGTGAACTGAGTCAGGAGGAGCAAACATTAACATGGCTACAGCTTTCACTCCACATACACAAGAAAGGGACTGAAGTCTAAACCGGGTCAGTTTAGAATGAAAGTGGATTCTCACAGATCTTATCTGAAGTCTCTGTTACAGGCTAAAGATGGTGCAGGATTACCAAAAAAGCCACGGCCCTGCAGAATTTTTTCATTAAATAACACACTAGAGTAGAATTCACTGTTATGAAGACTTCATTTACCAAACACATCTAATGTGGTTACTGCATCACCCCTTTTTTCTTACCTTCCATAAATCCATTTTGCATATAACCTGAAACCATGCAACAATTTAAAGACTAACCTACTTTCTTTTATATAAACCAAAACAAAACAGGAAGGAAACAAAAGCCAGGATGACTATGGATTAACACAGAATTGAAATTAACGCTTTTGTTTTCACACACTCCACTTCAGAGTAATTAGATTAACTCATCTGTTACCACTGAGTATTTCACTGCATGCACGGCCTCACCAGCAGACTAGAGAACAGAAGATAACAGTCTTCTAGGACTGGAGATGTAAGAACTTAATTATATACAGGAAATGCAGGGGTTTTTTTTAGTCCACTTCTAAAAACACACAACAACAAAAACAAAACCATAACCCCTGTTGAACACATGCAAGACTGGCTTTAAGTGGATGTTCAAAATTAGTTTTAAAAAGTTCAGTAAGAAAGTTAAAAACCTCTCTAATCCATAACCAAATAACTGAGTACATATATTGTTTTGCTGATCACCCACTCTCCCAGTAGCATGGAATAACTGAAAATTAACACCCTAAGTATTTAATCCTTAAGTTTTCCTCAGCTGTTCAGGAAGGCTGGAACTGCAAACAGTCTAAAGGGTCTCAGATAAGGACAATGCACTCGTGACCTAGATGTTAAAATGAATGATTCAAAATGTACCAGCGTAACTCCATCATCCTGTAACTTGCTCAGATCCAAAAACTTTGTTTCTTGTGTAACAATTAAGAAATGGCTTTGCTTATAGGCAGTAAGAGGAACAACTTTTGTATTCCCTAAATACGGCCTCTTAAAGGCCAAGCAGATAGAGCAAAGGCACAAACTCTCAGGAACAGCCAGAACCCAGGATCAGAAGCACTCTGTGGGCAGGCAGTGACACATCTGCATCAGGTCTGCACACAATAATATTGTTCAAAGCTAGGGATGCAATCTCAGCCTTCTTTCATTTTTTAATTAATTAACGAAGTATCACAAAGTGGAATGCATGCCCTATTCATGCTAAGGATAACACATGACATCTGCTACTGCTGCTTCCATTTATTACCTGATAAACTAGATAGCTTTATTTTAAAGGGAATACCAGAAAGAAATATTCATCTCATAGCTGCCACTGCACAGCCCAGCTTTCACCACCCAGACAAATAAGTATCTCATCTTTAGCTGTGACACCCTTTCTTGGAAAGACACATGCTTGGAAAGCCCACAAGAATACAAGGAATGCAACTGAACATTATTTCCCCCTTTCCATTTATAAGGCAACTCAGTCATTCATTC